TTTATCCGATGAGAGTTTTCTTAGTTCCGCATAACAAGTTGACGTGCCTGAGTAAACCGCCCTTCCACCTTACGTTGATCCCAGAATAACAGACATTTCAAGCGAGTCATTCCTTGAGTGTGTATCCTTTCACACTTTCCAGTAGCAGCTACGCTAGCTAGCAACATGAAGACGCGCAGTCTCAAGTTCTTTGCGATCCAACAGCGGCTTTAGAAGCGACCACTTGAGGCAATTGAGAAGGACTCTCAGAAAGCGCTTTCTACACAGCCCTGCTTCAGGGCACATTGCGGGCCATCTCTCAAAACAATCTCCCCAACGACCACCAAGGCTGTCTCTACGTTGCTCTTCTCGAAGTACCATAAAGTATTTTGAGGTTTTTATCTTAACTTTCTTTACGGCCTTCCGTTCTAGCCGGCCCGGGAATGAATTTTGCAGGATATTGCTAACTTTGCAGAATATTGCTAACACTCGAGCGTGAGCAACGTTCTAAATGCAAGAACTCTGGCCAAGCCGCAGCTTAGCACAGGAACAGGTGGAAACGCTTGAAGATTGATGATCAGGCGCCCCCAAGCTTAGAGGGTTCTCTATATAATCCTCAAATAAATCACAGCCCGAGGGGTCAGCAGACAGATGCACGTCATTAAAAAAGACGTGCGTTTCGGGCCAGTGATGCACTCTGGAAACACTAGTGTGGCGTCTATTGATCCACGTGTCGTCTGGACAAACCTGCCGTCCTCCTCGACTTCAGCGGACGTTGAAAATTTGCGTGGCCAGAAAGATCACGCTACAATGCATCATTGCCCTTCTGTGATCTTTAGCATCTCAACAACGTTCCTGTGCGTAACCAAGCTTTTCACGACAAATCCGCCGGTAGGATTAACGAGCCTCTAAAGAACAAACTTAGACTACACACCTCGCAACGACCGGCACGTCTTCCTGGCCGGTTATGGGAAGCGTGTTAAGATAATGAGTCTTCTTCACAGGTAGCGATTTTGAAGATAGACATCCACACTAGCAGCTTCCCCTGGATCTCAAGAAACTCAGAAACTGCCGACTTACAAGAAGAGATTCAGAAGCCATAGCATTTCCAGCAGAATAAGGCACAAAAGCAACGCCAAACCCGCTAGCTGACCCTCATCCCTTCGGTTTGAGTGCCGCTTGCGCATGCGAGAATCGTGTATGAGTGGCTTCAGGGGCCTCTACTCGTTTGCCTTAGTGTTACTGAGGCAAGGTCCTACCTCGCCCAAAATCATGGCCTTCACTTCGCCACACACTAAAACCCCGCCACCGCCTACATGTCTCCAAAAGGCGTACACCCTAACTACGGATTGAGCTTGCTCAAGGCAACCACACGGAAGGGCTCCGTGCGTAAGTTCGCTTATAGTGACCATGCGCCCTCGGTGGTCGTTAGGCAAAAGAACTCGCCGTGCTCTATCTAAGTTTGCAATGGGAGTCTCCCGAAGTTCTTTGGGGTCTGTGCACTGCACTGTCACCAAACATCTAATTAATTAAAGCAACTCAACCGGAGTCAGGACACATCCAATATCAAATCATCAACAGTACGACTGAAGGAGAGAAGGCGAGAGATCCATCCAAGCTCCAATCACCAACAGTGCGACTGAGGGAGAAACGGCGAGGAGGCAAGAGGAGTTGAGAACCTTCCGATATTCTGAAAAAAGGAGATGGACAGGACGGTTTACTCTGGAGCGCCTGCACACCGCCTCACAAGCTGCTTGCTGACGTGGCACAATCCATCTGAACGACGCCACTTGACATACTTTAAAAGCCAATACAAACAGCCACCCTTGGACTTTTTGAGCTCCGGGGGCGTCAGAGAGGGAAAACGCTCAGAAACCGTCTCCCATGAGAGAGAGGCGAAGGCTCCAACTCGTCCTCGCCATGTGCGATGGCATTTGTGCCAGGGATGCACAAAGAACATCCGCATCGATTGGGAGGAATATATGGTGTGACTGGAAACGACCATGTCAATCTGAACCACCTCCGCTCAGCCGTGTTCCCCAACTAATCAGAGACTATAATGCAACGCAAGCGCTGCAAAACATTGATCCAGAAAAGAAGCGCCGCAATCCGACGCTTTTCTTGTTGAAAGTGGTACTCGCTCTTTGCGACGAGCTTTGGAAAGAAGCTTGCAAACTCTGATGATTCGAGTTCGCAAGCATTCGCAAGAGTTTGCTTCGTTTACAAACGAAGCAGATTGAGAGCTGCGCTTAAGCTCTCAAGCGTTTCCAAAGACTTCAGACATGGGTGTTCGACCCTTACGATATAAGGCCAGCCAGAATCTGAAAGACCCAACAACATACCAGAATCGGGAGAAGGAGTGCTGCTACAATATCCGCGACTGATCCTCGACCACGAACGGCAAGGTTGATAGATTCCTTGTAAGCATGGCATCGGGACTGCAGATGACCGGAAAGGCCAATTTCTGAAACTCCTGACCACTGCAATTTGGAGCTGGGGGTTTTACAATCCCTAGAAGTCTATCTGCGCAAGCAAATCTCCGATCTGAAGTGAAACTTACACGATGCGAACTTGACTCTTACTGAACACGAGCAGCCAAGTCACATATGTATTGGAACATACTTATAGCGATGTGAGGTTTATTCAGATGCCTCCGCAGCACCAGAAAATCCCACAAAAATTTCATAGACTCCAGGAACCAGGCAGCAGAATGTGGGTTTTGGCCGGCAACGATTCTCCCACGTGCAGAGCAGGCCACCAAGCAAACATACTCTTCCTTCTTGCGACAAATTTTCCAGACCGGTTCCAAAAAAAACGACCGAAGTCCCCTTAGCCTTGAGACGATTTCTAAGCAGAACGGCCCACGCTTCATGTCTATCATAAGCTGGAAAGACGGAAGGACTTATTACATAGTGACCCTGACGCACTTCCCGAGTCTGACGCAGAAGTATTGGAAAGCAGTTTGCAAGCCTTCAAAACGCAAAAACACTGGAAGCCTTTCAAGAGTAACGCACACAGAAAAACACAGGCGGAAACCAAACCTCGGGAGGATGATCACTCGCATGGCATCAGAGAGCGCAAAACATTGGTGGCTGGAAATCCACGCTCAGATACGTCCTTGCCGCCGCTGTCTGCGAAACAGCTTTTCAACTTGAAACCTGACGTTGAACATACAAAGCCCAACCTGGTCAACCACGTGGCTTGTGAATGCTTGCGTTCCAACCTCAAGCCAGCCTAACTCAAGAGAAATCCGTCAAAAGAGTAAGCAGCCCCAGACATAAAAGACACAACCGAAGCGCATTTCGGCGGTGCGCCTATAAGTACCAAGACTCCCTTGCCCACTTGATTGTAATTTGCAGTGGTCAAGTCAACACCGTGTCGAAGCAATCGTGCACTTTGAGGGACCATTTCTGAACGCAGTGGAATGTCGTGCACTCCTGGAACGATCCACAGGCTCTCAAATGTATTCCTCAGCATCAAGCTTTCTGGGATTTCTACGGCCCATAATTCGCACAAGCCGGTTGATACACTTTCCCTGTGGGTCAACCTTGTGCAGGATCATCCACTGCCGAGGTTCTCAAGCCAGCAAGTAGACTCAAGGTTGAGTGCACAAAACCCTTGCCAAACATCTGCTGGTAACGAAGAAAACTTTGAAGGGCGTAGAAAAAGCGAGCTCACCTCATCAATCGCAATGAGAACCGGCACCTCGGTGACACTTGTCAGCTCGATCCGCAACCGCACGAGCATCTCGCCCGCGCGCTCCCCCTGGTTCTCCAGCCCCTTCTCGACGAGGCTCTGGTAGCGGGAGAAGGGAGATGATGTCAGCATTAGAGACAGTGGTGACGTCAGCACGACAATCCTGGTACACTTGAAACACTGTACGCAAACTTTCAGGTCGATGCATGGCAGAGTGTTCATTTCCGAATCAAGTCTCAAAGGCTCGGAGAATACTACGAAGTAAAGAAGAAGAGTCTGCCGCTTGGACCTTGCGTAGGCTGCAGGTATCAGAACCCCTTGCCCGATTGGCACAACCATCCCGAATTTACACCTGGACCCGAAACCGCATCTTGAAAAACTTTCGTCCCATTTTAGACTTTCAAGATCTGCGAGACTTTCTGCTTCAGGAGCTCACTTAAAAGCAGCCCGAACTTTTTCGTGCTGAAATGTTATTTAAACCTGATCGTTTTATGGCAACGGGCCAATCTCACCTTGAGACTGCCCTCCTCAGGTGTGCCCGTGGCCAGCTCTTCCGTGTCCAGGTCTACGGTTGAGGTCCCGCCAAACACCAAGCCGATTGCGCTCAGCGGGACCCGGATCGGAAGCGACTCCAGGAGTTTGCCATGCGCAGCCAACAGGGCCTGCGACATTGGAAACAATGTGCGTTAGCGGCGCTGATTACAAGGACAGCTAGTAAGAGCGTACAATCAAACTACATTCTTCAAAGTCAGGTCATGAGCGAATCATTTCCGTTTTTGAAGGACTGATGACGGGAACGCTTACATCATGACACAGGTCCTCTCGTGAAGAACAAAAGCGGCGCAAGTCGAAATCGAAGACATTGAAAGACGGGTCTACGGCCGAAGCCATTAGAGCTGAGCAACCAACGCTTCGTCAAAAGGGATGACAGGGCCACAACTCAGACCGTTTCAGAGGTCGAGAAGGCAAGTGCGACTAGAGTTGAGCAACTGACGCTTCGTCAAAACTGATGAATGAAGCAGGACTTGGACCGTTTCAGAGGTCTAGAAGCAAACTGCTCAGCACGAAGAGGGGCCACGTGCTGGAGACAAAAAGAGTCTTTGTCCCACAGTGTCGGTAAAACAACGTAGTTCGTAAGGAAGGGTACAGTCTCCAGAAAATTCTGCGAAATCTACCCAGACAACCTCGAAACTTTTGCCCAGCATAACACGGGGCGGGTTGACTCAAAACGAGAAAGGCTTCTCGCTTTCCCACGCAGACCTTCAAAGAAAGCTTTGTAAGGACGGAAGAAACGCCCCGAAAAGCTCACCTGGAGCGCCTTTTCCGCCTGCACCGGCGTGTCAAAGAAGACCGACTTCTCGTCCTTGCCGTAGAACCACCCCGAAATCCACGACGTTCCGGAAGGAACGTAGAGCGCTAACCAGCCGGCGGCGCGGCACTGGTGCACCAGCAGTGCGAGCAAGGACGACTTGCCGCTGCCCTTGGGGCCCTTCAGAACGAGTGCACGGTACTGGTAAGCCTCTGCAGGGGGGAGATGCGGATAGACTGTAAATATCACTATAATAGTATATGCGAAGAGCGGAGAGCTGGTGTACGTACATTCTGGCGAGAAAGAGTAGGTCTGTTCGTTAGAGCCAGCAGAGGAACTTTGCTTTAGACAGTACACTGCTTCAAACTTCCTGAATGCCATGGGCAGAGCCGTCTCCAGCGGTGCTGCTTTTGTGAGATCGTGAGAACTCGGTCTCAGTTCTTCTGAGGGGAGAGGAGCTTCCTTTAGTAGATTGCTGATTTGTGCTTGAATTTTGGAGTTGTTAAAGCATTGGCGAGGTCTCATCCAGGTTATGAAACGGCGCGAAGGGGTTTGATATGGCCGGGGGACCTCTACTAAACTTTAGGCCTACGCTAAGCGTTGGGGACCTACATACAATGTGTTTAGAACAATCATCCAAACAGGATACCATACACAATTGGAAAGTCATCCATTGCTTTCTGAGGCAAGGGGGACCACCACCTCTGCTACAGACGCAGAGATCGTCGTCCGCTAAGCACTCACTCCGATCCTCAACCCGCTGTTTGACCTTCTCAAACAGGTCGAGACCCTGCCGCCGAACGAGTATCCGCTTCTCCTTTTGTTGAGCAAACTCCTTTTCCAGGCTATCGGCAACCCCTTCGCCAAGCGCGTCCGCGTGTCTTCCTCGCTGATGGGGAGAATGGTGGTGAAATGTGAGTGATTGTGAAAAGTCAGGCGTCTTGCAGCCTATAAGTTTAGAATGATATCTGTTGGAGATGCCGATCGCAGCGGTTGTACAGAAAAGTCCAGCAGATCGTCTCATGAACCGCCACACTCTGGCTCACGGAACTTGCGGTTGGATTGATTGGGAAGTTGCTCTCACTGACCGTACTGCAGATTTTGATCTCTAGGGTGGTCAGCTATCTGAGCAGCAATCTGCTTGCAAGAAAACTCCCTTCCGTAAGTCTTGAACAAGAGACAACTGAGTCCCCTCAGGATTGCTTTGACTCCACTCAGTATAGAATAGTGCGCGTCTTTGTTTTGTATCACTAGGGTCCGGTGAACACTGACTCTGCGTTTTCTCGTGATCTTTCCGCCTGTTGTACTGCCCGTTCACTGGTTGAAAACCTTGGAGGATGCCTCGGGCCTCACCTGAAAGTGTGAACCTTGTTGACTGCCCCTGGTCCAAGCTTGGCCCCCTCAAAAACCGTGCCGGCACAAATTCTGCTTGATCGCGGCCATGCTCTCACGCAGCGCCTCCTCCTCTCCATCAGCATCTTTTTTACTCTTATACACGCTCAGAAAATCTTCAAACGTCGGGTCACTATTACTTTCGCTGCTGCCGTTGCAAAGGACCAAGTACTAATAAAGTGATCGGGTAAATATGTCTGAACTCCACTTAATTGTGCAATCGAACCCAGTTCTGATCTTAGTGACTGGGAGTTTGTGCAGCCCGTAAGCTGGTTTCTGGAGGCCAAAACATGTTTCCTCGCCAACCATGCACGAATTACCGCTTCCTCAGCCAACTTCACTGAGATTGGCGCGCCCATTGGAAGCGCATGCTCTGTATCATCCAAGAAGCACGCGCGCTTCTCGCGGTAGCTGTTTGGGCCCAAGACTGACGAGCGCGAAGTAGATGCACAGAGCAGACATCGCAGACAGCGCCCTTTCCTTGAGCTGAGAAGAGCTACTTCCCCAGGCAAGGGGACAAGAAACTGAGCAGGTGTCGGAAGCGCCATGGTGCTTGAGCGCTTAATGCTGGCTGGGTGAGCGAGTGGTCATCTTAGTGGGTGCCTCCAGCTATAGTTGGAGCGGCGGTATTGTGCCACCACCTTTACTATCGCTGTGACCATACCATTCTTAACAAGACTGTGTGAAGCTTCGACTCCAGTGCTTGAGCCTGATGGGCTTCATATTTAAGACATACTTCGCTTGGTGGCAGCACGGAGCACTCATGACATTGGCCCCCATTCACGAAATTCACATGTAGGAAGGTTTTGCTTTTGGCACCACCACCATTGGTTTTTCGAAGACGAAGAGGATACCTCCAATGGCAATGGCAATGAAATCATGCCTTCCAGGGCCAAGGAGAGACTGTACAGCGTAGACTGGTACCTGCGCCTGTATGGACGCAGTGCAAATTGCGGCGCCTGAGTTTAACACTTCAAGAAATCACATGATATTATACCTAGTTTAAGATTGAGCAGAGAATTAGAGAGACTGTTACAAGCAGTGTTACATCTTGTCGCTTCTCAGATGCTGATAATGCCATATGGTTAACTGCTCATGCATGGTTCATTGATTGCCATTGGCATAGATCAAGACTGACAAGAGCTTGCGTCGATCTGCAAAGAAGGCGGCCTGCCAGACATATGACAGGAGATTAGGAAGTCGATGCTGGATAGGAAAACGAGTAGCATTGTTGCGGTTCCGGAGTGGTGCCATGGCTGCTTTGCGGTGCAGGGCGCACCTGCATCCATTCTAGGGGTCGTCTTGTCCAGTTAGCGTTCGTTTGCGCCCGACCTTCTTGATGCCTGCGCCGAGGCCTGCGCTGAGGCCATTGTGCGTGCCTGTACCACTTAGCAGACGGGTCTGGAGATGCAGCAGCGGGTCTCCGGAAGATGAGGATTTTAAGGCACCAATCCCTACCGCTCAGCCCCGAGTTGGCGATGCTCTATATCCTCCGGCTTCGAGGGCGCCAGAGGAGTACTCGTTTGCTTTTGAGCCAATTGACCCGATGTTTGATAGGGAGGATACGGTCGACGCATTCAATTCGCTGCTCGGGAGGCAGAATGGGGCATCTTTCGTCGTGGCTGTGGGCCCTCCAAGCACTGGGAAGTCGACAATTTTGAAGCGACTGAAGCAGGAGAATGAGCTTGCCAGGGCGATGGGAAAGAATGTTGCCCCTATGATCCTCGTCGATTGCAGGCGCATCGACGTGAGCACTCCTGAAGCTTTCGCCAATGCAGCCCGGTCCCAGCTTGGAGGGTGGTACTGGCAAGTCCGCCGCTGGTTGGGCAGACTGACCCCGAACCTGCCCTGGGTAAGTTCCTTCTGTTCAATGCTACTTTTCTTTAGGTGAATGGAGTATGCATTCTCATAAGTGTACAAGAAAATCTGGCACGTGTGCCGCGTGTTTGATGACCTTTAGTTGGGCAAAGCAGAAGGTAGTATCGGTCTGTCAAGTTCCATGTTTCTATAACTCTTGACGTGTCAGCTATGATAGACCAGGTTTCTTGCTTCTGAGAGAGCTGTAGTATCTGCTCTAAACCTGCTTCCACAATCATACGTATCAAAGAGGTGCCATGGTACTCATACTCGACGAAATCGTGTGCAGGTTAGCGTTGACATGAGCCGCAAGGAGGAGGGTCTGAGTCGCTTGTTCTCGGACCTTGAAGCCTTTGCTGCGCATCTCCCGCCCTCCTTCAGCCGTCCGTCGCTGGTCGTCGACGAGATTAACATGCTGCAAGTGTGGGCCAAGAACAGGGAGGACGCTCTGCGGCAGTTCATCGCCTTCTGTGTGGCAATGTCGAAGCAGGAGGGCAAAATCAACATCATATTCTCGTCATCTGATACCTTCGTCTTCTATTGGCTGGCTGACTGTAAGTCCTGCCTCTCCTTGCCTGGAGGATTGCTTATCAAATTGCCAAAACTAACATCCGGGTCTACCAAGCTGTGCTGGATAGCCTTGAGCAAGCTAAGGAAGAACAATATGTCAAGCTTTTCCACCTCTTGGAGTAGAAGACACTCTATTGGATGACGGGCCCTCTGAAGTAAGCCCTTGTCATTTAGCAAGGCAAGAGCCTATCTTCTAAGTCTATCCGTTCGGCTGAAAACCAGACCTTTTCCTCAACTAGTGCTGGCAGTAAGCGACCAGCCACCTCTCGTCAGTTGAGCTTTCAATCAGCACCAGAGCTCTGTCATCAGTGGGGCTGTCGATGAGGAGCCAAAGCTCTCTAAAGCTGGGTTGACAGTTCGCAGTGAGACCTTTCTTGTCGTCGGGCTGTCAATCAGGGACCAGACCTTGACCTTGCATTTGGTCTGCGAATCAGAAATCTTCTCTTCAGCCAACAATCAGACGTCTTTCTTCAACCAACAAATCAGACGTCTCTCTGCAGCCAACAGCGTTGTCAGCTGATGTTAGCTTTCGTTAGTGGGCTGCCCACTTAGCAACAACTGGCTCGTTTCTCTTGTTTCCTTGGATGCCAATGCGCGTGCGTGTACTAGACAAGGCAGTCTTGCTTTGCTCAAGAGAGGTATCACGCTAAGTAATGATGACAAGCATTTAATAATGCTCAAACCGCTTTCACGGGCTGCCCTACAAACCTGGTCTGATATGGGTGTTCGAATTCGCCGGGGCCTATATGATGGGCGTGCTGATGGATACCGAAACAACTAGGGTTGGAAGTGGAATTGAGGTTCATCATTGTCACTCTCTTCCCTTGCAGTCGGGCTGAGGCGGGAGGCGCACACGGTTGTCACGGTTGACAATCTGGGCGAAGACGAGACGCGGCAGTACCTCATCACGTATCTACTCCCGAGGTCTTCAGCCCCATTAGCGCGGAAGGAAGAGATTGCCGCGCGCTGGAACGAAGTCTTCGCGGTGACGGGTGGGAATATGGGGGAGGTGAACAAGTGCGTTCTGCTAGCGGAAACACGCGTATGGGCTTGACACTGGTGAGGACGGCATCTTTTATTGCAACTTATAAAACTATCAAAAGAGTCAAAAGTGGGCGTCTGCTTTGACGGTGGCCTTCACGAAACACAACTTTTTAAGCCTTTGTTACGATGTGCCCTTGACAGCCGAGCTTTTAATCCTTTGCTGACTGAGACTTCCTGTAACGA